TGGCTATGTTTTGTCTATAATTTGTTAAAAGATGTTCCTTATCAACAACTTAATCAACGATTTGATTATCTCTTATGTTACTGACTTACTGTTATTTATAGATGAATGATATATAAATATATATATTGAAGTTTTTTCAATTTTACCAAAATCAATTATTATACAATTAAAATTCTTTTTTATTTTTAAAACCCACGCTGTGTTTGATGAAGAACGAAGAAAAGCATGGACGGAAGTATTTATATAACTAAATATTTGAAGATAGATTTCTTTTTTCTTTTCTTTTCTTTTTTCTGGAGAAGAACTGTCATGTGGAATTTTCTTCATATACAAAAGACCGAGAAATAAAGAAAATAAAAAAAAAAGTCAACCAAACTAGGTGGCTCTTTTGAAGTTTTCACCATATAATATGGACAAATGTAAAACAAATCTTCATTTTGCAGGGTTCACATATTGTGGATAAATTTTGAAATTTGAAAATCACTTTAATAATGCAAGTGCTTACAGAATGGATGGCTTCTTTCTTTTTTTCAGTTGACTTGGAAAATGTTTGTGTAAGTAATGTTAATTGATGTTTTTAAGACTTTTCCTTATAACGTGACGGATGTGAAATTGCACCAAACGTGTTGAATTTTGAATCATTCTAATCCACTCACATTCAAAGTTTATAACACGTTATATAAAAAAGTAAAAAGAGAAAAACTTTTCTTTAACATTTGAATATACCCCATAACTGTTAAACACTATATCTATCAATTTAGTCAATTTTATATTTAAATATGGACACAAACCACAAACTGAAAATCAAAATTATTTTCATTACTCAAACCTTAGCATACTTGAATTATTTCCAAGCAACTCCACTTATATTACTATGAGCGTTAAAATATTAATCAATTGTGGATATGTGCATCTCAATTGTGGATATGTGCATCTCACTCTCACTCACTCGCGTGCAGGCATTGTGATTATATTATTCGATATAAACTTAACAATTTTGAGATTCATGCAAAATAATTTTAGTGAACGACTTTGCCCTCAATATCTCAACTAAACAAAGAATTATTGTGTCTTATTATTTTCCATCTTTTGAATTTCTGAAATCTCAACTAAACTGAAATGTCTAAAAACTTTTTTCTTTTAAATTTCTTAATAAATGTTCTTTTAAAGGACGAATAACAAAAAACAGTCGTGTCTATTACAAATTAAATGGCGTATCCTCGAATTATAAGATTGACTATTGTACAAAAATGGTTCTGTACCTTTTTTTTTAGTGAGTACTCCATTTATATGTGAATGATGTTGGGAGCCATCTAGAATTTACAGTTGAATTATTGCTTGACTTGTTTAAAATAAATGAATAATCCAAATTTCATTAAACAGTGTTAATTGATTAAGAAATTAAAGAAGCTGTTACTCTTTACAAAATTTTTAAATTCATCTCATATTTTTTATTTCTTATTTCGCTTCATGTTAAAATATAACTTCATAACGTGGGGAAATTTTCATTTATTAGTACTTTTTGGACTTAAATTATACATAAAATTGATCTAAACAGTAAAGATTCTAACATGCTTTCAGTTGATGTATTTAATTAGCTATAAACAATCTCGTACAAAAAAAAAATTTGGTTATATATAAAATTGATCTAAAAAGTTAAGAACTGTAGTAAAAAGTATTTAAAAGCATATATTTGTAAATATTACATCAGGACCATTGTAAAAGTCAAAAACTAGCATTAAGAAATTTAGTTTTAAACTTATTTTCACTTAATAACATTTTATTTTCTAAATAATTATTATATATTATTTTATTAAAATTATTTTTTTTATTTTTTACATATAACATACATCGCACGGGCGACATACTAGTTATTATAAATATCAAATGCAACAAATAAATCACTTCAATTTCTTTTGCAGTTGATTTGGAAAATGTTTCTTTTTTTTATTGACGACTTGGAAATGAACCAAAAGAATCTCATTCACTCATTCAAAGTAAATAATACGGTATAGAGATATGAGATATCTAACCAAGTTATAGCAAATTAATGGTGGCTAATCTTTTATCTATAATTTGTTAAAAGATCCTTCTTATCAGATTTTTTTTTAACAACTTAATCAACGATTTTGATCGACTCCTATATTAATGTTATAGAAACTTTTACTAAAATTAATTGTTATAGAAACTTCTCTTTTATTTTTAAAACACACACTTATGTGTTTGGAGAAATATAATATGGATAAATATTAGACAAATGAATTTACAAGTTTTTGTTAGTTATAACAACTCTCATATACACAAAATTGAATAACATTAATTTTAATGTTAAGCCAACATGTGGCAATAAATTGATTTGACTTAGAATTCACATTCCTGATTCATAACAAAACATACAGAAATTATGACATCTCTGTGGCGCAAGGAAAACTAATTTTTTAATTAAAATTTTGATTTATTATGTTTCTTAATTTAGTTAACTCCTTGCCAATTCATCTTTTATATATGTAATTGTAAGGACCTAATTCAAAATTAAGTGAAACTGTAAGGACCTGCAGATATTTTTCTTAAAAAATATAACTAACACACACATGTTAATTGTTAATTGATTATGTCTTATGTTACTGACTTACTGTTATTATATATGAATGATATATAAATATATATTGACCTTTTTTCAATTTTACTAAAATTAATTATTATGGAATTAAACTTCTTTTCTTATTTTTAAAATGACCGCTTGTGCGTTTGAAGGGCAAAGAAAAGCAAGGATGGAAGTGTCTATATAACGTGACGGATGTGAAATTGCACCAAATGTGTTGAATTTTGAATCATTCTAATCCACTCACATTCAATGTATATAACACGTTATATAAAAAAGACAAAAAATAAAACATGAAAATTTGACTTTAACTACCATCTGGAATTTGCATTTGAATTATTGCTTGACTTAATGTTTAAAATAAACGAATAATCCAAATTTGATTAATCGTGTTAGTTGATTAAGAAATTAAAGAAGCTGTTACTCTTCACAAAAATTTTAAATTCATCTCATATTTTTTATTTCTTATTTCACTACAAATCATTATATATATAAAAGTAAGGTTAAAGGCTACGAAAGAATGCTACGTGTTCATTTTTAAGTTTGCTATAATTTTGTGCTTTGGAGATGTCTTTTCTATTATTCTATACTTCGAAGTTAGGTTTGGGGTTAGGTTTAAGATTATTTATTATTTTTTAATGTATATAAAATATATTATTTAGGTTTGGAATTAGGTGCGGGATGAATTATTAATTTTTAAATGTATATAAAAATTATTTTTTTACCTATTTAAAATTCAAATCTGATCATATTTGAATTCAAATTAATATATATATATATATATTTAAAGTTTTCATCCACCATAAGGATATGCAAAAATCTAAATTCATATGACTGAGCGTATACACATATATAAATATCTCAAAAATTTTTGAACCGAGGTTCTTTTATATTTTTAGGAAAATGACAAATAAATATGTTAATAAAAAAAATAGTACCATGAAATGAAGTAATTACATCTTTGACCCTCTACAAAATAATAAAAGTGTTTTTTTATAAAGAAAAAGTTTTGGTGAGTTATTTTTCAAGAGCTTATCATGGCTAGGGCATGCTTCCAAACTCAAAGAATACTTGCAGATGTACTTATAAATCATCTACCAACAAGGCCCTCACATCGGCAGCAGGATTTTATCCTTCAACCTTATGGGTTATATATAGGCCAAATTTTAATAACTAGACTAACCTTTATTAGTATAGAAGTCATAGTTGTTAAACATAAACTAAAGTTATTAAGAACTAAGATGAAGTTGTTAATATAATAATAACATAGTTGTCATTGCATGACTATAATGAAATTATGACCAACTATATTGTTAATACTTAAACTAAAGTTGTTATTATAGGATAAGGCTCAATAGTATAAAAGTTTTATTTTAAAGCTTTTGACAAATGTTTAAAAGATATTCTAAAGTTAAAAGCTGTTGTATTTGGTAGAGACTTTAGTCAAACATTTTTTTATTATTCAAGTGGGTTGAGAGAAGACATTGTTTTTGCCATCATTAAATCTTCATACATCTGGGATAATGGTCAACTTCTTACACTAATAAGAAACATAAGTCTTCTAGCAACAAATATTAAAACATCTATTAGTGTTTTTCAAGATTTTGCTAACTAGATTATCTCAATTGAAGATAGAATTATTGCTGGAGTTAGTGAAAAATTTGTGAATATTAGGATTCCAACTAATTTGTTATTGAATGGTTCAGAAAAACCAATAAAAGTCATTGTTGATTTGACTTTCTTGCATTTCCTTGCCAATATCTATAATTCTTCATGTTTTAAATATATGGCTATATTAGCTCTTACATTGGCTATGATTGAAGAAATAAATAGGTACATGTTGTCCCTATTCCTTGAAGAGGGAGTTATATACTTGAGCTTTAATAGTATTGTAAAAGACAATAGGGACATGAATTCACTTGATGACTTTCACTCTATAGATTTTTTAAATTCAATTACAACATCAAGCCTCTTAAATTATAAAATAAGGCTTAAAGTGAGTGCCCTAATTATTTTTAATGTGAAACATTAATAAGTCTATGAGATTATGCAATGCACAAGTTTTATAGTTACACGAACTGAAAAACATGTTATTAAGGTCCAAGAAATGTCTGGATCAACTATAAAGACGAAAATATATATATCATGTATTAATATATGTCTATTTGATTCCGGCTGCTATTTACCATAAGAAAGAGGCAATTTTCCATTATGTTGGCTTTTATAATGATCATTGATAAGAGTAATGTCACGCCCAGCAATATGGGAGTGATTGGCATGGGACATGCATCTAAGCACACATCCCTTAAGCCTAATTTAAGAAATGTTTTATTTTAAAAATACTTTTCTTTTAAATAAAACCTTAATATTTTTGTAAAAATTTTGACAAAATCTCCCCTAAGAATGGAATCTTCCCAAAATTCTATAACGCAATAATTTTACATAAAATATAATATCAATCAGGAGCTTAGCTCCTTCCAACTAGCAGATAACATATATCAAATTAGAAACCTAGCTATATGCTATGTGGAGCAACTAACCTTACTTTCAAAACAAAATACATGAATTCAAATATTGACATTAGAAGGAGGTAATGCTAGGCAAAACTCCGCCCAAAACAGATGTATGCCCCTCAGAGGTAAGCAGTAGGATCATCGTCAATTAATAAATCTGAGACCAAAATAATTTTCAGTGAATAACGTCTCAATAATAAATAATTAAATATGAATAAAAGAAAAGTTAAAAAAACAATAATGTAAGTTAAAAAGATAGCAATCTCCATAAAGATTCAAATAAATGTGGAATAAAAGAATTCTATATAACTTTAAATGAAATCTTAAACCATTAAATTATCATATCAAATATTGTCATAACTTAATTTCAAGGAAGCAAATAAACAAAATAAGTAATTAAAAATATATTGCTAATTAAAACCAACGAGATATGAAATCATTAAATAATCAAATTCATATTTATAGGGACTTATCAGAACAATTAACAAACGTGGACACACAGTCCATGAGGGCAAATAACCAAACGCGGCTTATGCCACGAAAACAAACGTGGACACACAGTCCACGAAGGTAAGTAACCAAACGCAGCCGAAGCCACGAAACAAACGTGAACACACAGTCCACGAGGGTAATACAAACCAAACGCGGCCAGAGCCACGAAACAAACGTGAGTACTATGCTCACTAATAACCATCCCTCCGTTCCACGTGCGTTGGCCATCGCACGGAGCTAGCACCTCTCATAAACACCCTACTAGCTAGGTGTATCATGGCGTGCCAAGGGCTAACGGAACTGCCGTTAACGACCAGTGTTCTGTATAAAGTCCCTTTTTTAAAACCATTTTCAAACATGCGAGAAAATCATCACTTTCAAGATACAATTCTCATTCTCAAAATCAAACTCGCATGAATACTTTTAAGCATTAAAACTTGCCAGAATCAAATTTCATATCCAATGCTCATGCTTGCATTTATTAAATAATCAAAAATTGCCAATGCTAACGAAAAGAAATTTTTATTAATTCTGAAAGGATATCTCATAAGGGGTAAAACATTCATATACTATGATAAATCGTTTTTCACCACCATCTTAAAACTTAAAAATGAAGAAATTTAATTAACAAAGTATCTACTAATCAACATAATTATTATTAAAATAATCAAAGTAATAAAATAAATTTTAATAAGAAAAATTATTTGATAAATTAATTGGGACGCTATCCACTTAACTGTCATTTTCAGAATTCAAATTTTTCCTCTCAACTTTAATCAAATTTCTTCTCTTCCCAACTCCCTATAAATCATATTAAGATTTTATTCAATGCTCAACCATCACAATAATTCCTTTTCCAACCTCACTCACCACCAATATTAAACTATAATACATAAGAAACTTTAAAAAAAAAAAAAACTTCACTAGCACTTAGTCAAGGCACCAAACATACATCATTTTCAATCTGCTCATAAAAATACTAACATTCAATATTTCATCAACAATTATCCATCTCCAACAACTCACAAATCACATTATTAATTTCATAGGCAAATATTCTTTTCTAGTCCCTGCATAACAACTCTAGTATTAAAATATTTTCTTAACAAGCTATCGATCTCCAAGAATTCTAATAGTCATACATATTTTTAATTTCATAATCAAATATCCTTTGCAACATCCAAATTAAAATTCATACTTCCCACAAGAATTAATGAAACTCCATGAATATTCAAAAATCAACTTCAATTTTTTTCTAACAATTACTTCAACGACCATCCTCATCATTTCTCAAGGTACATATCTCATGTTTTTTTTACTTAATCCTAACCAAATCTTTACTATCAACTAATTTAAACAAAATGAATTTAACTCAAAACTTGACCCACATGTATGTCATTATCAAGCTTGAAGATAATTTCCAGCTTAACTTTGAATTTCCTCCTCTCTACCACAGTATGGCAGCAATAAGACACACAACACAAATTTGTAACCTCACGCACAACAACAACAAAGCACACTCACACTCACGGCAGAACAACAATGAAAAATTTTGAATCTCCTCACCTCAACTCAGCAAAAACAGAACAGAAAAAGAGCATCATGGGCAGACCCTGTGCAATCGAACTGAGAAGAGGAAAGGAAAGAAAATCTGCAGCACCAACAGGGAAACTTGAACATCTATCTCGGGAGAGCGAAAAAGAAGGAGATGAGGAATATCGATGGCCAAAAGGAGAAGAGAAACTCACGCTCAATTAACAGATGCAGCTACGATACCTCGCCTCGGCAGTGATCGACGGTAATGCCAATCGAAATAGAAACGAAATAGAAACGGAGAAGAAGGACGCACAGAAGGAAGATCCAGATCCGTTCAGCTCTCCGATGACAGCAGCAAGATTCTGAGTGTGACAGAACACCCCCAGCTGCGTTTTATGGTGACTCAAAGCTATGAAGAGAAGAAAAATTTTGTGCTTCGCATCTTGTGCATCAAGCGCCAGAATCACTACTCACGCAAGCCAACGATGTCTGGAAAATGGTGGAGGAAGAAAGGAAGGAGACGAAGGAGACGATGAAGGTTCCAGAGCTTCCCCTTCTCTGCTTTTAGCGTGCTTTCTCCGAAAGAAAAGAATGAGGAGAGGAAAATATCATATTAAGTGGGAGGGGTATAATAATAATTTTAACAAATTAATAGGAAAATAAAAATTCTCCTCTAGTCTCCAGATAGTTCGAACCTGAGATCTGTCTGAAGTAAATCTAGCTCAGCTACCACTAAACCAATCCTCCTTCTCGGTAATTCTAATCCAACATTAATATAACTACTATCAAAATGCAAACTTACATATATATGCATTTTGAAATTTTACTTGAATTCTTTGGTTATTACAAGCAGGGCCAAAGCCTGTGCCATGAAGGTTTGTACTTGCCTTGTCGTATTTCCACCCACAACCAATTATGTGTTATTGTTTCTTATGTCTGAAGTAGGAAGGGTTTAAAAATATTGGTTCTTGATGAGGATGGTCACTTCATGTATATAACTTCTAATGTTGTTTATAGGGAAGTATTTGATAATTTGTTCTAATTAATTATAATTTTTTGTTAATTTTCTTCCCACTGTATCCATTTATATCACATACATTTAGTTTTTTGTTAATTTTGCTTTCCACCGTATCCATTTATAGCATATGCATTTAGTTTTTACCATTTTCTTAACTCTACTATGCATATTTAATATTAAATATGATAATTACATAGCCCCACAATGTCTGAGATGATATGAAAAATATGTCTACTATAGGTTATTCTTTTGAGAAAGATCATCCTGTAAGATTGAATTTATTTATAAAAATTATAATATAAGATCCGTGCATCGCACGGGTAATTTACTAGTTAAAATAGAACTTCATGATGTAGGGCAATTTTTCATTAATTCGTACTATAAAATGATAAAATTTTGTTTAAGAACGTGGAAAAAAGAATGACTCTACAGTGAATGTGTGCTTAAAATGTATCGTAAATTATTTTTCAACAAAGGAAAACGTAAAAGGCATGATTTTAACATGCTTTCTGTTATTATTTATGATTGCGATTAAAATACATTAACATTTCTTCAATCTTACATATTTCCAAAATTAATACAAATACAATTAAAACGCATTATTATATATTTTAAATTTTACTTAAAATTTTTGGGTATTACACAAGTATAATTGTGGGAATGATTTGATTCCAAGTATCAATTGATCGCGCTTAGGTTCTCGTCTATGGTATGGGATCAAATAGACTTGGCATTTGATACTTACTAGTCTTGAATGCACCACAAGACATCATAGGCGGGAAACTATTCGTTGGAAACATGAAAAGCACGAGAACTTCCTGATAAAATGTGCATATTCTCTACTTCATGAGGATCTGACACCATCTTCCCCTTTTTGGTAAAAAATCCAGAAATTTAGTGTTCAACAATAGTGTAAATCCTTTCTTTAGTTGACTCTCCATGATCGTTTTCCAACAGATTGAGAGTGAGGAAGAATTTGTGTTCAAGTGCCGTTTGTACCTGGTGTAATTCAACGGAGTATCGTATTTTACACGTTCTTCGCAACTGTCATAAAGTGAAGGAGATTTAGCATAGGAGTGTGAAACTTGAATATTTAGAGAGGTTCTTTGCTCTCCAGTTATGGGATTGGTGCAAACTTATTGTCACTACAAACATGGGATTATTTAAGGAGCAATGGGGTAGCTGGTTTGCAATGGTACGTTAGCTTATCTAGAGGAGAAGAAATGAGCAGATTTTTCAAAATACCGCATCCTCTAATGCTGATATTCGGCTCAGGCACATGGCATCTTACGATGCATGTCTAAAGCCTAGGTTCTGTTAAGGTTGCTACTGTTCTTGGTGAGGAATTTTAATTCTCAACACTCTATTCTCCCCACCATGGATAAGGTTATAGTATTTGTTGATGGTGCTCATTTGATTCAGTCATGGACGACAGGCTATAGGAGGGTATTCAAAAATCATCAAGGAGAGAACGTAGGGGCATTCATGTTTTGGCCCATTAAGGGTGATGCTCTCACAAGCTAAGTGAGATATGGCCATTCCTCATGGGATTAAAATTTTCCTAGGATAAAGGATTGAAAAGGTTTTTCCTCCTGACTGATTATATGGAAGTGCTCAAACTCATTAAGGAAAAGAATGTTGATCCCCATGAGAAATGCAATGAGCTACTGACTATCAAGGAGCTGTTGAATTGTAGTTGGCAGATTCGTATTCAGCATGTTTCACATGATTTCAAAATGGAAGATGAAGCCCTTGCTAAACATGTTTTGTCTCTTTCACTTGGATTCTACCATGTCATAACTGATGTATCTGCTTTGCCAGAGCTGTTATGGCCTCCATAGTTTGCTTTCTATTTTGTATTTTTCCTTGTTGGTATTTGTTTTGTTTGTTCTGTTTCCTTCCTATTAAAAAAGTATTATATGGTTTGAAAAATCTTTATTTTTTAAGATAAAAACTGGAATTAGCTAAAAAAGAAAAAATGAAATAAAAAACTCTAACAATTCAAGTATTGGGCGGCTTGAAAGCTCGAGGTGTTGAGATTAGGCTTGATTATATGTGAATTTTCAATGTTCAAGTATCTGAAATATGATTCAAATAAGCTTTAGCTGAATTAAGTCCGATCTAAATAAGGCTGACTCATTCAAATTAACAACTCTACTGATATTCCCATCTCTACCCTCAGGCCCCATTTGGTATAAAGCATTCATTTTTATGACATTGGGTATGAAACGGGAGTGGGAATAAACTTTAAAATTATGTTTGGTATGTGTTGAGATTAAAAAAATAGACTTAAATCAAAGAAAAATAAGGTAAAAGACCCAATTGTCCTCATCTTCTTCCATCTTGCTGCCAAGTTGCCTTCCTTATCGTGTTGCTGTCGCTATCCTCTTCTCCATCGCGGGTAGTGCAAGTAGTTGTAAGTGAAATGCAAAAGGAGATTGTTTACCAAATATAAAGAATGTACTTGTGTATGCTTGTTCACCAATAAATAATTGTTACTAACTAGAATTCTCCATCATCCGATGCATGGGGAAGATTTCATCATACGTAAGGGGAGTTATTCTAGTTTAAAATATATTAATCTATAATAAATAAATAAATAAGTAATTAAATTTGTTATAGAGGGTGTCAGTCAAATCAATTCACAACAATAGATTAAATGAGTTAAAAGTTATCAGATTGATATGTGTTTAATACAAGATTCATTTTTGGATGTTTAATATTTTTTATGTTCTATCCATGTTATAGTTTAAAAGAATGTGTTTGAAGCTCATTGATATTTTGTTTCTCAACATTAGATTTTCACAAGAATTTTGGGTTGTTTAAAACATTAAACATATAATAATTTGGTGTGCTAAAAGTAATATGCATGATCTAGATTTAAGCACATTAGTACATTCATCAAGAAATCGAGAAGCTCTAACGCTAAAACAATTTGCTAGAAATGGAAGGCATGTGAAGGATCAAATATTTTTCAATAGCTAAACTTAATTTTAAGCAAAGGAAGCATGACAAAAGCCAAGATGTGCCATTCCCATAATACTAAAATTATTCCCTATATGTGATGTACGAGGTGTTTTTTTTTTTTTTTTGCCAAACAAATGCACAAGGTTTAGTACAAGGGCAAATCAATGTTTCAACTATTCTCAAAAATTTAATTTGTTTCAAATTTCTAAAAATAAAAAATAAAATTATTCTTTTGATAAAATGGATCAATATATTTAAAACAAAGAAAATTAAAGTACAATAGTCGAAAAGTAAAAAAGATGGAAAGAAGAAGTTATTTAAAAAAAAAAAAGGAAATAATTGGCAAAGGCAGGTTCAACAATGTGCTATAGAAACCTATAGGGAATTTTTTTTTTTTTTTAAGGAAAAAAAGGAGGGGGTATTTGGTTAAGCGTAGAGGGAAAAGTTGTGGCTTATGTTTGTGGTGGAATAATGAGGTGGATGTAGAAGTATTAACTTCCCTCATCATTATATTCATGTCAAAATCATGTCTGCCGCAACTGAAGTGCCTGATTTTGTAAATGTTGCACATGCTCTCAGAGAGAGAGAGAGAGAGAGATAAGGTGTGGACAAATCTTCAAAATTTGGCTGGGGAGAGTGAGGGATGAATGGTTGTGGACAGGAATTTCAATGACATGACTTCTCAAAGTGAAAAGTTAGGAAGAAAGCCAAGGGCAATGAAGAAGATATTGAAATTTCAGCAGCTCATTACTGACTGTATTTTGACTGATGTTGGATATAATGGCTCAAATTACACCTGGAGTAATTAGAGAGTAGGAGATGATCATATGAAAGAATGAATTGATAGTGTTTGGTAATGTGGATTTAAGGGAGAAATTTCCTCCAGCACAAGCTTTTTATCTTGAGGCTATTGGTTCCAACCATAATATGATACTAGTGGATCTTTGCTACAAGATTTTTACTACTCCAAGGAGACTTAAGTTTGAGAATATGTGGCATACTCATCCTGATTATGCTGAAGTGGTGAGACAAGGGTGGAAAGAGGTAAGGGGGAAGCTAGAACTTGTGTGAATGATGTTATTAAAAGATTGAATCACTGTTGAAAGGTGTTAAAGGAATGGAGCATAAGAGAATATCTAAATAATAAGAAACTTATTGATGAATTGATGACTGCTCTTATGGTTCTTTCACGGAGGATAAGTTGTGAAATCTGGAAGAAGCAGAAATAGAATTAAAGAACATTTGGCAAAGGAAGGAGCAATATTGGAGGCAAAGGTCAAGAATATTCTTGGCTGCAATAGGGGGATATGAATTCCAAATTTTTTAACCTGTCCACAATCCAGAGAAGATAGAGAAATACTATTTTAAAGATAAAAGGTATGAATGGTGAATGGTTGGAAGAAGCAAGTGATATTTCTAAATGCTTTGTAGACTATTATGAGGATCCCTTTCGGCCTTCTGCTCCTAGTGATTTAGTAAGGTGCTACAATATGTTGACTGTAGAATAACAAGAGATATGAATTCAGATCTGATGAGGTTTGTTCTTAGAGAAGAAATGTGTGATGCTGTATTTCAATTAGGAGG